GAGGACTACAGTAATCCAATGTTCCTGAAGATTACATAGCTCATCAGACACAGCTCATAGGGCTTTTATTCGAAGAGAAGTGAAGCATGAAAGAATTCGCTTACTGATCCCGAAAAGCCTTATCTTATTTCGCATGAAAACCACAAAAAGCTCCATTTCGCGATTCTGCACGCGCCTCGGACGGCTAAAGCCTGGAGATGGAACCAAAGTTTGTATAAAGAATCGTGAGATATGAGTTCTCTCAAAGTCAACGAACAAATGGACGAAAGCTGAAGCTTGTGGCGAGCAACGATTACCTCGAAACGTCGCAATGCGTAATTTACCAACGAAACAAAGCAACGATAGCTCCGCCTTTCATTCGAACACCCCAGTTGAGTTCTGCTGCTCGGAATAACTCTTGGAACACATATGGAGCTCGATTTGAACTTTTGGTAAAGACCAATGACCTCATCATGACACTTCGACACTTCGTTGCATCCGAAAATGTCTTTAAATAATTTGCTTGAGTAACTGAGTCCGCTCTTCTGGCTGACAGAACTTGCTTATATAGGTTTTATTCGGTTATTTACAAACACGAAAAAATGACTGAAATGCAATGAGAAAAAAACCATAAGAGCCGCATTCATGGAGCTCTTTTGTAAAACAGAGTGGGCCGCTCTTTGAACTTTCTAGAATGTTTGTATTCCTTAGAAAATTTATTTTTATTCATTTTTGACAGACATACAAACAGACATTCAGCTTTATACATAAGATAAAACAGGAAATTTTTGAAAGCCGAAGTCCACAGTTTTCTTCTAACTGATGACAGTGCTTGCAAGAGTTTGAAAAATTTCGTAGCAAATTTTGCTGATGAAAAGGAAACTCTGCTAATATTTATAACAAGGTAGATATGCCCATCGATAATTGGTAGATATGCCCATCAATAATTGCGCTTTTATGACGAGAATGGATCAAAAAGAAAGGCCTGGGCTTGAAAAAAAATGACAACGCGAATCTCAAAAAATTTCCAAAAATGGCTTTTTACTTTCTGAACTTTGAAATAAACTGATTAAATTCAGAACTGACTAATAGACAGGAAATAGGGAGTTGGGTTAAATCATAGGCAGCTGAACTTGTTTGATCTATCGTATGTCACGAAGCCACCTAGCAACTTAGAGTCGATAGCAATGATGCTAATCAGGCTGATGCACATCTATGTACAACAGACTTCATCTCCTGATTTTTAGTGAGAATTTGTCGTAAACAGAAAATACAAAAAAATGCAGTGAATGATCATATTATTGCAGTCAACAGTAGTTACGAAAAAGGATGTATTTCGTAAATACACTTTGATTATCAGTAGCATTTACGTAACTGAAAAGATTGCAAATGATCAGTTTTGAAGCTGACAGCAGTGGAAAAAGCAGTAGTAAGGACATGAGTGAGCACTAACGCAGTTATTAGCTTTGAAAACAGGAAGAGGAAGGGCGAGTGCATGGAATGAGATGTAAAATCCAATGTTAAGTTGTTCCCATTCGTTGTTGTCTGTGATACCCCATCAATGTTCAAAAATGATATCATTCTCAGTCTTCTCTTGCTACTGTCATTCTAATAAGGCATAACAAAAAAGGAGTGAAGAGCGATCACCTTCCTATCGCGAAAACATATAATAATGTCTTAAACTTCTAGTACAACAAAAATCAAGTCATGAACTCTCCCAGTCATTAAACTAAACCGCTTCCCATACGCTCATTTCACATTCTTAGCAAAGAAGTGCCAGTGTCATTCATGTGAAAGTCAAAAAGTCATTTTGCAAAGCACATCTAACCATAGCAGGATAATGAAAAAACCATTATCCTTGAACCTGGACAAGAATACTCATTAGTCTAAACGAATTCTTCCACCAAAGATTCAAAACATTAGGCGAGTGAAGGACGGCGGGAGGGGTTGGAGAACCGACCTCTTACGTGAAGTTGATAGATCTGAGGTGAAATTACAGGTTTTCTGCGCCGCTAACAACGCTAGTGCGTATAAAGAATAGTTCTGGTGTGCGTATAGTGGCCAACTTTTACGCGCAAATGATGTCAGCACCGCAAGCGCACCACAGGTCAAATATATATCGATCGTAACTTTCACTTATAGATTCCCAACAAGCGCCGAAAGTGAATATATCAGTGCAAAGAAGAACACCTACATGACTGACATGATATCAAGTTTGCGAGAAGGGCACTTTGTGCTAGAATACATTCATACTTCTATTCACAACTCGAAATCGAATTTTTCTACAACAAAGAGAGAGCCGTAATATCAAGAGCATCGCCGCAGGAGTACGTTAGTGAATATTCATATAGAAATCAATTATATTATCAATAAGGATAGTAGGTCAAGAAGTAATAGTCATTGATATTAAGAGTATGACAATAATAGCAATGACGAAGCAAAGTGAGAGCTAAACCATCCCGATGTTTTCATTTTCTGATTTATATCGTTTTGGTCTTTTTTGTATCCTTTTGGTTATTTCGGTATTCAACAATTCTTTTCTGGATGCGTTAGAGTAATCTATCGTCTGCATATAAATAAAAAATGGCCATCAGAAGATTCGGCAAATTAGCAACATCTTATAAAGCCAGCACGATGAGTATCACGTGCCAGGGCTCGCAAAGTGCGCATTATTTTTCGGTTTTGCATTGCACGTGAGGTAAAAAAAGGAGAAATTTGCAACAATTCTTGCAAATCGCTCAAACGAACACCTGTTTTGCACGTTTGCACATAAACCCTTAGAAGAAATTTTCGTGTCTGAAAATTTACTCCAAGGACGAAGTGAGCGCAGATTAATTAGATGGGAAGAGCAAGAATTAATTGCCAGGTCTATGATTATACTAAGAATTGTGCAGATTTCATCGAATGTTCAAGCAGGGGCTGTAACTAACTCTGAGAAATTATTAGCATAAAAATGAGGCTGACGACTATGTCACTGGAAGTGGTGGCTAAGGTCAATGATAGAGTAACGGCTTGCACCTGCATTGAATCCATACGAACTCAATTCATAGAAAAACAATTATATGAATAAATATGAAAATCAAAATGTTCAAAATTCTCCTCGATTGAAAATTTTGATCAACTGAGATTTTTCACGAACACTATTTTCGGAAATTATTCATGCAAAAATTTCAATTTGCTCCGTATTCGCGTAATATTTCGACATTATTTTGTACCGCTGGTTGATCAGATATTCAAAAACTGAGAAATGAGTGCTTGCAAATTTATATATGGAAAGGGAACGGCGACAACAGGAAATGGCGGATAAGAGAAAGAAGCATACTTTCTGGGAAGCTTTCAGAGGCAGAAAGATATCCTATTTCTGTCTAAAGGATGGAATTTGCAAGAAGCATATTCTAGCCGATTTCTATCTGAATATTCATCTCCAAAAAATGGAAAAAACCTCTTAAGTAGATTATTGATCACTGCCCGCTCATATGACCGAAGTAGGAGCAAAATCCTTCAGCCGTGTGAAATTTTAGGGCAGCATTAAAGGTTCGCCAATGAAGTCACGACTTTTTATAGTCCACGAAAAGTTCAAAGCACAAAGCTTTTCAGTCGGAAGAAAAATGTTTACCAAAAAACAAAAAAGTGGAGCTTGAAACTTAACTACTACTAGATCAAATAGATTCTGTAGCTAGAACTAATGATACCTACTTACAGAGAGTCCATACGAAAGGTACGACTTACGACCAGGGCTTGGCACTAGGTGGCTAGATGAAAATGGAAAAAACGAAGTCCCCCTTGACTTTTGGGAATTTTTACGAAGTCCCCTTTGACCCTCAACCAAATTTCCTTTAAAAACCTGAAAAATTCCCCAAAATCCCCCAAAAAACGAAACGTCGACTAAAAAAAAGGTCGCCGTCGCCAATTTTCCGTGTCTCTTCGGTCACAAAAACGAGACCCCCTTTGCTTTTCGTCCCAAAAACGATATCCAGCTTGCTTGTAAGCCACCTCGTGCCGAGCCCTGCTTACGACAAAAATTTCATGAAAATGAGGATTTATAGCGCAAAACCACGACAACTAGCAAAAAGCCAACGTTAGCAACCCAAACAAGCGCTACTCGCTTCACCCCCGAGACCATAGTTCATCGAGTAAATTGGCAAGTGGTTCTCTTGCTGTCATTTTTAGTCTCACTCGCGTTCTACTTTTTGATGAGTTGTGGGTGACTGGGGAATCAGCGAACCGACGGTCAACTATATTCATCAACGGGTTGCGATTCCGAATAAGTTGCGAACAATCCCAATGGGACACTTTTCAAGACTACGACAAGAAAAAGCGTTGGGAAACACCCAGAGGGATGCCCGAGATTGGCTCAAAGCCTATAACATTATGACTTCTGCTCTTTCTTATACATGTAAGAGCTGACGAGAACTTTCCCAAGTCTTCCTGCCATTTTTTGCTGCCTTTATCGGAAAGTAAAAGCTATGAAATCAAAGCAGAGCGGAATTACACTGTAATCTTTTGAAAATATAATACCTAATTTTAACAACTCATCAATCCATCCACAAGTTAAGTAATTTTGAGCAGTGGAAAAATACATGCCATTTTGGATTAGTATAAAAACTACAGTTAGTTTCTAACGATAAGCTGCAGAAAGCAGTTTTCAAACTCTAAAGTCCAGTTCGGACAACAATTGCACGCCGCGGACATAGTTCATGCGGCACGGATTTCCCGCCAAAACGCATCGCGAACGCACGCCACGCCGCTACGCAGAGTTAAAACCGAGTACAGCTTTAAAAACGCTTTTTAGCATTTCACAGCTAAAGTGGAACCGCGCACCTCGTGACACGATTAGAGCTCCGTCATCTTTACCTTGTATGAATTATGGCAGTTAAACTGCTCGTCCGCGATAAAATTTTCGGCCCACTTACCACAAGCATCGCGATACCTCTATCACATTTTCAAGCACTCTGATTACAATACACTTTCAGAAAAAGCCAGAAAATCACTGCAGATTCCGCCCACAATAAAACACTTACCTTGTATCCAAGGCTTTTGCACACTTGTTTGTATGCCCAATGCCAAAGCTCGTGTGGAGTTCGTTTCTCATCTTCTTCTTGGATTGTTTGGCTGAGAAAAGGAGCTACACTTGTTATAGAACAAAAAGAAAATTATAAACAACAATCAAGAAGCTATGCGCCGAGGGGATTTTGAAGCTGTACAAGAAAATATTATTCTTTTCTATTGTGGTATTCCGGTTTTATGAAAGCAATTTTTTCCGAAAACTCTCCACCGATTTTCTGCTACCAACTTAAGAAACAACTGGAACCAAAAAAGCATACTGTGCAATATCCGTAGACGGTTGGGTCACTGCTTCATTACGTTCCACACTATTCTGTCTGGACGAGTCTTCTCGATCCGCCTGGTAACCTTCCGTAGCTGAGTGCTCTCCTTCATCGATGATTTGTGGATGTTGCTCTTCCGGATGCCACTCTTCATCCTTCGACGGTTCATCTCGCCAATTTCTTATCGCTTTGTCATCATGGTAATCTTCTTTGACATGGTCTTCCTCTTGTATGCTATCATACCGCCAATTATACGTTCGTGACTCGGTTCGCCTGCAACTTTGAGAGTCATTTCTTTGCAAGCGGTGTCCACAGTCGCACGTGTGCCAACGCTGTGCCAGCGTTCCAGAGCTGTGCCAGTGCCAAGGTGGATCCAGCACGGCGCTGGCACGGCACTGGCACTGCAGCTCTAAACGCAATCTCAAACTCGCTCAACTTACCGATTTTCATACTCATCTCCATATAAGTCCCCACGATGACTTGAATCGCTATCGTATCGTCGTTCCACTTTCTCTACCGAGGGTGTCCGCTCTGTCCGACGGCTTGCATCGCTGTCATATCGTCGCTCCGTTTTGTCGACGGAGGGAGTCCGATCTGTGCGACGGCTGGCATCGCTATCGTACCGTCGTTCCGTTTTTTCCAAAGATGACGTTCGTCCACCGACGTAACTCGTATCGCTATCGTACCGTCGTTCTGTTTTGTCAACAGATGATGTCCGATAACTTGCTAAAGGGAAAGGCATTTCTCAACTTGACTAAGGAGATTGTAGGAGATAATACCTTTGGAATTTCGTCCTTCACTTTCTACATAGGTGTTCTGATCATCCATGCTCTTTTCTCTGTAAATTCTCATAACAATCTGATATGTAAAAAATCGTAGGAAGTGGGAAACCGCGGCAGGTCCCAAAGTGAAAGCTATCAGTCTAGCATCATTAGATTACCGGTTTACTGGTCTTGTGAAAAGATTAGTAAACCACATTACATCACTTAAAGATACAAAATCGATTCGTCATAAATTGTGCACTCGCAGACCCTATCAGAAACACTCACTGACGACCATTTCGCATGATGAGTTTACGGTAGATACGCGGTAAGAACAGGACAAAGTCTCAGAATATGCTGGAATTTTGCACGAAATGGTGATTGGCTTCACCCGTCACGGTAGCAATTTACTGTGGAGTTACGGTGGAAATTTGGCATATTATATTGAAGTAAGGATCAAAGAGATCGTGTTTGGCACGAAGAATACGCCCACGTCAAAATAATGCTGACAATTTAACCCTTTTAAGGTATGCCTATGGTAACCTGGATGACGGGACACCTCGATTAAGATAACAAATATTCGGGCTGAATCTATTTTTTTCTAAATATGGAATATCTACAATTTCAAAATTAGCCAACTTTACAGACAGAAACATACCTCTCCGTCCCAGATTCGGCAGCTTCAACGGAATCATGCCAAGATCGGAAAGGTCTAAAACATAGAATTTCCTGAGTATAATATCTCCTAATCTTACATCACTAGGACAAGAAATTTGTGTTACGCGATAGTAAAAAAAAGTCCACCATGGTAAAAGTAAAGGAAAAAGAACATGCTCAAAACTCACTGGACTGGTTGCGGTGGCCGACTGTTGTAGGAGAGAGGCTCCTGTTCATTCCAGTAATCGCTGAACATAAAACCATTGAGAAAAGAAGAACGAAAGAAAAATTCGCAAATCAGAGTCAGGAGTAAGTAACCGAAGAAAAGTGGTATGACCTACCCAGGATACTGTTGCCTATACTCCTCTCGATAGTCAGATGTGCCTTCCAACGAGCCGTACGGCTCCGCATATCGAGGATTTCGGCCAAAATGAGCATTATGCTGTTGTTCGTCCGGCTCTTCATCTTGGTAGTATTCCTCTTCTTTGTAGCCATTAACCTCATATCCTGTAACCGTAGATCGATGGATATTACCCTACCAGAGTGCATTACCCTTACCATAGGCATCAGTGTAATGTTGATCATAGGACATTTTTTGATTGCCAGACGGCACACCGCGACCCGTCGACGCTTCCGCGTCATAGGTTGAGTACTCGTAATCGTGCGAAGGCACCTCACTGCCGTACGTTTTTACGGCTAAAAATAAGTGTTACGAAAAAAAAAACTATTTTTTAAAGAAAATGTCTAAGCAAATGTGGTATCTGGACCTCTGTGGAAGTAAGTAGGTGACCGCTGCCCCGGAAGCATCTCATATAATTCAGTCGCTGCCAACAAACTCAACACTAAACTCTCGTCCACCACCGTACTCCTTGTGAGAGCACTAGGCACACAAGTACGGTAGTGGACGTAAGCTTAAAGTCGAATTTCTCTGCCAGAAATGAAGCACATGATCTACCGCTTGGAACAATTTGCTTAAAGGCAGCGGCTCGGTAGAATGACGACTTTGGGATACTCATCGTTCTCGGTCCTCCTGAATGAGCTGAGTCTAAGACTGTACTTTGCAGCTTAAAAAGGAACCAGGAGAACCGAGAACGATGAATATCTCAAATTTGACATTCTGCCGAGCCGCTGCCTTAAGGTTTCCCAACCAGTTTATAAAAAAATCCAGGTGGCCAGATCTGCATGGACAAGGAAGATGCAAGGGATGAGGAACGCGTGGAGAGAAAAGTTCAGAGAATGTATGGTTTTCCAAAAATGGATATGCCAAATCTGCGTGGCAACGGTGCACTAGAATACTTGCTATAGCAGACTACCTCGCTGAAAGAGTTATGACGATGCCAATGCAGGCTTTTTATATCAGCCCTGCAAATCCAAAATTTATGGATGTGTCCATAAAGTGCCGCAAAAACGATCGTTCATTGTTACACATGTCATCAAGCATTTTTTGTCGTAAAAAGACAAGAGAGAGAGAGAAGTGGCTTGAGTGGGAAGGCGAAAACGAGCATAAATGGACGAAGATATTGATGAAAAAAAAATTGCAAACATACCGTAATCACTATCGTAATGATGAGCGGAATCGTGGTATTGGTCGTCGGGTTGCGCGTGATATGCGTCTTCTTCGTCCTCGTAACTAGCCTGCAGCGTCTGGATGTCGATTAGACAGTGAGAAAAGAAAGGACAGAGGACAACGAACAGATAAAAATTATCAAAAATTGAAATATGCACACGGAAACGTTGATTAAGTCAAAAATAATATTTCGACCAAAATACTGTTCAAATGTACCACAGTTTATTGAATGAAAAGAGCCGTTCTCTCAGTCCTAATGCGTAGCTCGTTTTCATATGAAAAACTAGTAATCTGCCTATTTTCCTATTTTCATAATTAAAAACATATTTTCAATGCGTAAAAGTAGCAAAATTGATAGCTATAGCTGACCCCTGATTGTATTTTCGCGTGCTAAGATTTCTTCGAAATCTCAAGTTTCAAGGTTGCGAAAAATATACCTCTTAGAAAACTTTGCTGATATCATGCCCTTTAATAAGAAAAAATTCTGCAGTTAACTCCCGAAAAATTTTTGAAGCGCCACTGTATACCGTAAACCTATACCGCCAAACGAGGCTACTGCGCATCTGCAAATAATTTTTTAAATGGTTTGATTTTGATGATCATCTCCAAAAGCCCCACACCATTCCGTTTTTATATAATTTCGTCAGTACACATGCTCTCATGCGATAAAAAATGGTTCTTTTTAGATGTCTGAAGAGACGTGTTACCCAAAGATTTTCCTCAGTGGAAATGCCAAGCTTCTCCTGCTCATACAATGCAAAAAAAGAAGCAGAAACACATCACAACAATAATAAAAATCAAGAAAAGCAATTATCGTACTAGCAAAGCTTACTGGGTCTTTTTGATGCCGATATCTATGAGGATGTAAGTGTGAATCCCATTGATGTGCGGAGCTATTCGGTTGATGATGAATTGGGAACGAGACGTCAGACGTGTAGTCGCTATCTTCAGAAATTCCGGCTGTAAATTCAAAAATGCTTGTGGCACGAGAACTGGTCCCTGGACAGGCAGTGGAAAAATAGCAAGATAGGAAGCGTCATGAAATGTGATATAGCTTTTTCAAGATGAAAATGGAGACCGGTGCCCGAGCAAATAGTAAAAAAACTCAGGTTCAAAAAAGAAAGGTTTGAAAGCAAACTCAGAAGCGATAAAAAAAAAACTCACAATGTGTAAAAGGCACTCGTTGATGGTTATTTGGCACGACTTGGTCCTGCAATAACAGAGCTAAAAATGAAATCGAACCATGGTTTCAGATAAATGACATGGTCACAAATCTCTCTCTCTCTCTCTTCCTCTGCAGTTTTTCTGCGAACGCGACATCGCTTGCAATCGCGTATGCACCTCTCAAGCGGAACATTTGCAAAACCGCCCTTTTGTGTTCAGAAATTGAATGCTCGGACAAAATTCGCATTAACAAAATGATTCACTTCAATTCAAATAATTGCTTGAAGTCCGAAGCCCGCAAAGTAGCAAAAAAGCCAAGTAAGTAAGCACAAAAGCAAAAAATGCAGTTTTTATGAATCATATTCCATAACCAAATATAAAATAGAGTAGAAAAATGGTTTCACAAAACTCACGTTATCTATTAATCGATTTAATGCCTGCAGTTTGGCCTGTAGTTCCTCAGCGTCTTCTGCTTGAGCATCTGAAATTGTAGTATATGATTTCACCACATAGCACAAATTTGAGTCAAAGTCAAGGACATAATCGATTCTATAAAACGATCCTTATGTAAAGCTTATTTTTTAGTTCCCCGAATCAGCTGAGTTGTCACTTCTGATTATCGTTGTCAGAAAATTATTTAGGTTTTTTCGTAAGTAGACGGTAAATTGGAGGGTAATCAGCGATTACTCAAATACCGATTACAGTAGGATAAAAACTGCAAATTTCCGAGCAATCTTCAGATTGCTGACAAGCTCCAAAAAATAAGGTTGAGCTTTGAGTTGCCCGTAAGCCGGCGCCGTGCCAGCGCCGTGCTAGCACCATACCAAAGTCTGAGCGTATCGACCGATCGATCGCACATTTCTAGCACAACGTTAGCACGGTGCCGGTATGGCGCTGGCTAGCACAACATCGGACACAAGTGAGTAAAAAAGTGTGACTTCTTTGCTGCACTTCCAACAGTCTTGAAAAACCAAAAAAAAATTTTAGTGAAATATGAGAGAAAATCTGCCGAGGTATGTCGAAGAAGGTATTAGAGTGGACTACGCTACATTTGAGATTCTTATACATGAATGCACTCTCTGAATCCTCATGCGTAGAGACTGCACTCTAACAAAAATAAGAGGATATCTAAGGTACCTGCGCACTTTCTATATGAATTGAAGCATAAAAAGATTCATAAGAACAGAAATACAAGGATTCCTTGTGCAAGTCTATAAGTCTTTTAGTCCTTGACTCAAGCACACCATTTTTACGGTAAATTCTGGGCATTTTTTGAAAGAAAAACTGATAAAATGACAACGCCGACAAGAGTGATCTTCTACTTTGCAAAAAACAGAAATTTCCAGAGGTAGAACGCATTTAGAAAAACCTGAGCCAAAACACTGCAGAAAGCGAGTGAGTGCACTCTCCATCGTGACGATGTGAGATGTGACAGATGCGATAAATCACCACCGTAACCGTAGTCAATTATTCAGAACAAGAACTTGGTGACTCGAATAGAATCAAAGGTGATTCTAAGCAAAAGTCAGGTCCTGGAAGACGATTTGAAGCTTTGATACTTTGTTTGTATGGGCACAGGTTAAAAAAAGGAACGAGCGCATCCCATTGCAATACATATAGAAAATACGGAATTGTTATCTTTCTATAAATCATTATTGGCGAACAAGCAAAACGCTCTAGCACTCAAGAACATAGCCAATTCCAATTACCTAAAGAAAATCACTATCAGTGAACAGAGTTGCAGTGTAATAAAATGTGAACTAGAAAGAAATGAGACGAAGAAGATTGAGCTATAGCTATGAAGTTGCACACTGTTTGTACTTTTACTTGCGAAGATCTAAAGTACATTACAATGCAAACATTGAGCTGAGAAACTGCAAGAAGTGTTCATAGTAAAGCCACAGCACGATCGCAGAGCTTTTTTAGGTAGAAAAAGAGGTAGCAGAAATTTTTTAAGAATTGGAGAAAAAAAATTATTTGGAGAGCTAAAATTTTTAGCAAACTTTCACCCATCCAAAAATTTTTTTTTACAAATCTCATTCGAATCGCTTTTCGTAAGGTTGATTTGACTATGCATAAATAAAAGTGAGACAACACAAATTTGAAGAACACCCCCTCTCCCCTTCCCCTTCGTTCTCCACTATGCGAGTGAGACTTTTACTTGAGATTATATGGAACGCAAAAAAAAAGAAAAACAGAAAGCAGCTTCTAATTACTTCCTTGAAAACGCTCAGAGCCAATGTAGATTTGGCAAAAAGCCAAACAAAAGTCAAAAATTCTGGGATCATTCGGATATAGAAAAGAAGAGTAAAACTAAGCTAGAAGTAATCAATGAGAACAACGAAGTGTGTTAAAAACTTTTACTTAGGGTCCCTTCATACCGCGCCAGCGGCCGCCACTAGCCGCCTGTATCTGCTTTTGCGCATTATCCCAGAAACCCGGGGCCTTGTTAGGACGTTGAAAGATTAGCTATTTGTAATCAGCATGCCGAATAACCCACAACAGCAAGTCTGAGAGAAATTCGTGGTTTCGATATTGGGGCCCGGATAGTGGAATAGTGCGCAAAGGCGGCTAGCGGCGGCTGCCGGCGCGGTATGAAGGTACCCTTAGTGATGGAAACTGCTGCAGTCCAAATACCAGCACTTTCGCCTCAAAAGGGAAGAGAAATTCCAGAGCTCTCGAACGTTTTCCTTTTGTGCTCAAAACATCACTCCAGCTCCTCACTCTCATCCATTAAACACCGACGATTTGCGTCAGCACAGACAAAGGACACCAAATCTCAAGGAGAGTTTCGGACTTCTATGAATGGTAAGAAAGTGCGTAAAACAAAATGGCATTGAGTGAATCGCTCTCTTAATGTCCTCGTCTCATTGTTCAAGGGCTAGGTGCCGGATGTCCTCGAATCGACAGCGCTTTGCATTTATGATGGGAATGGGAGGTGAGCCATAATCCAAGAAGAGCCAGAAATGCAGGAAAAATGGAAAATATTTTACAAGACCACCACATACATGATGCATTGTGCTCTCTAGAGCAAGAAAACTTTTGAGGATAATTGCCATTATCGATTTCTGGCCGAGAAAAAAACCGCATGCACGAAAGGCAAATGCACAAATTGGCCGCATGCCAAACCTCAATCGAGTTACGTACCGCACACACGGAGACATCGAATAGCTTCAAGTGTACTGAAGAGTGACGAACAATGAGAGCATCGACTAGAGGTTCTCGCAGCAAAGTAGGAAAGGTTAATTTTTGGATTATCGGGAATGTGAACTTCGGCCAAAGCCGTGAGGCAAACTAGTAATGGAAAGAACCACGTAGGCATTTGATTTTGAGTTGATTGAAAATTTCGCAATGCGCTGAAATTATTTTCAGAGCTGGCATAAATGCCGAAAAGTCGCACTGTAAGTTTTTCATATGTGAAGAATGCCAAATAGGCGTGGCGCGTGCAGTCGAAAGCCAATCTCCGCTGAGATGGGCGGAGCTACCATGCAGGCATTTCACTTTTCTGAGCAACAATTGGTTGGACGGTTGCACCCGTCCCGCTCATTCAGTATTTTCCAGGTATAAAAGGAACTGCAATTTTTGGGCATTTCTACAAGCTCTAAAGCACAAGTTCGGATTCAAGACATCTAAAATATTAGATTGGCAGAAGATTCGAGAGTTTTTATGCTACTTGAAGATGAAACTAACATTTTGTGCAGAACCGAAATCCACTAAATTTTTCACAACCACGAATCCGAGAGCAACGGAGTTCTTGGTGTGAGATGCGCAATGTGTGGGCCTAAGAGTGTCTCATGGGAATTCGCGAAGAAAGCGCTTCGAATGTAAGAAGAAAGATGACAAAGACAGCAAATTATCATAATTGCCCTCATTTCTTTGTTCACTGGCTACTTAACGGACTGCGAAACACGTTAGTGAAATAGCGTCGATTAAAAAAGCTTTAGAATGAACTCATTATATGGTATGTGCAAAATGAGCAAAATTGTCTAGTGGTACGAATGAAAAAGTTGTTTTACTGAGTTACATAAACTCACAAAGCACACTACACTCGTGAACGGAAAACCTATACTCGTGGGAAGCAAAGACAAATATTAAGCGTGTCAAGAATACGAAGCAACTTGATCACACAGCCCTATTCTTAAAGGCAGCGTACATCCAAAATTTGAGTTACCGAATTTCCTAGATCTTTCTACACCGTGTATATACTGGGCCCAGAAGAAGACCAACTGCGTTGGTCCGGTCTCCCAATGTTGCTTCTGAGCGGAGAAAACCCCCCTCAATTTTCTTTCACGCCGCCCCTTTTCTTTCGCTCCGCCTCCTCCGGACGAATCCATAACAGCGTAAGCTGCAATTGCAGTTGCAGTTGGTGTTGCAACATCTGTTGCATTTGTTTTGGGTGTACGCTGCCTTTAAAGACTTTCTGAAAAACGCGTTACTTTTTCCAAATCCGCGATATGGAGGAAAATAAAAAATGCAACAATGCCACAATTCATACTAAAAGCATAGAGTTTGTAGAATTGATGTCGAAATTTCGAGGAGAATCCACGGAATTTCCACACATCAAAAATTTTGCTTTGGGTAGGCTACAAAATGATTCTTGAAGTGGTACGTGATAGAGACTTGATCAATATTCAGAGACTTTTGTTTATTACTGACTTATCCGAAGACACAGATAATGATTTTTCGAAAAAGCTTTCAAGCTAACAATCTAAACTTAGGCATAGGAAAATAATCGCATTTAGGAGATGAGAGGTAAAAAACTCCAGACTCCAATACCTGCGGTATTTAGTTCAGAGGTAACGGAAATTAGAGAAGCTACATAAGCTGACTATTCCTAGTATGTAAGTAAATTAACATTTGGCACATGAAAACACATTAAGCTATGATACAACGCTTTCAGATGTCTAGCATGATGAGTTTTATACTCGAATTCAGCTCTCCCACGTCCTGGGATGCCCATTAGTGAAATTGGAAAAATATAGTATGCAAAGCGATTGATTGAAAACTTCATGAATGTAAGTCTGCGCTGCATTTTGCTTGGCCGTCTAGTACATCGCAGGGTCTTAGAACAACCGTGTTAGAAACAGAAGGTGGCCAAAGATATGCAGAGATCATGATGACCAAGAAGATAAAAAAATATCTTGAGGTAAAAAACCTTCAAGACGAGTAAAGTTCGCCATTCTGAGGGAAATAACAATATAAGTAGCAACGAAATAGACGAAGAAGGCGGGGAAGTAGGCAGTTGGTGCGTATTAACCCATTGACGGCGATATGGATGGACCAACGGTGGCCCACGCACTTTTCGCTGCCAGGGAATATGGACCATCGGTGGCCCACACCTCTTGCAAAGTCATATTATTTGTAGGTCTAGTATTTTTTCCACATCAATATTTTTTCCATATTTTTGCACTCTTGGGGCCTCTAGACTCCGTCGTCCAAGAGAATGTTTGATTGCTCACAAAACAACAGCATTTCTTAAAT